CCCGTAATAACTGGAAAGTGTTCAGAGTCGCCTCCTACTGTCCTAACCCGAGTCTTAGCTCCATCATACATGTCTTTAATCACCCTAATATAGTTACTCGGGACCCCTTTATCCTCTAAGCAGCTCCATAAGACCTTCCTAGGAACCTTATCGTACGCTTTCTCCAGATCAATAAACACTATGTGGAGATCCTTCTTCCTATCTCTGTACTGTTCCACCATCCTCCTAATAATGTGGATAGCTTTTGTGGTAGATCGTCCCGGCATGAACCCGAACTGGTTGTCTGAAATAGACACCGTCCTTCGCACTCTCATTTCTACCACTCTCTCCCAAACTTTCATGGTATGACTTAGTAATTTGATGCCTCTATAGTTGTTACAGCTCTGGACATCACCTTTGTTCTTGTACAACGGGACCATTGTACTCCACCCCCACTCTTCAAGCATCCTATTAGTCTTGAATATAACATTAAACAATGCTGTAAGCCATTCCAAGCCTGCTCTACCCACACACCTCCACAGTTCAATCGGAATTTCGTCTGGCCCGGTAGCTCTGCCCCTTCTCATCTTACGCATTGCCTCCATGACTTCATCGATCTCAATGTCCCTACAATTACTTACTTCATGGTGACTGTCGGCATTCCTCGATTCCCCAAGTATAATATCCTGATCCCCTTCTTCACTTAGAAGTTTATGAAAGTAGGTCTGCCACCTCCTCTTAATCTGGTCATCTCCCATCAAAACTTTGCCGTCATCATCTTTTATGCACCTCACTTGGTCCAGATCCCGAGTTGTCCTCTCTCTCGCCTTAGCGAGTCGGAATAATTTCTTCTCCCCACCTTTGTTCCTTAGCTCCTCATACAGACGAGCAAAAGCTGTCGTTTTAGCCTCTGTCACTGCCATCTTCGCCTCCTTCCTAGCTACCTTATACCTTTGACTGTTCTCTCTCTTCTCCTCCTCGTCAGTGCTCCCTACTAACCTTAGGTAAGCCGCCTTCTTTGCTTCCACTTTACCTTGGACAACTGCATTCCACCACCAATCTCCTTTGTGTCCACCATAGTGTCCCGTAGATATCCCTAACACCTCTCTCGCCGCCTTTCTTATACAGTCCGCCGTCGTCGACCACATTGTGTTTGCGTCCCCACTACTTCTCCAAGCTCCCATTGCCGATAACCTTCCTTCCAACTCTTTAGCTTTATCCTTAGTTAAGGCGCCCCACCTAATCCTGGGGCGTCCTTGTACTGACCTCTTCTTCCTCCTTATCCTAATACAAATGTCCATCACCAAAAGCCTATGCTGCGTTGAGAGGGTCTCACCTGGGATAACCTTGCAGTCCTCGCACAACCTTCTGTCGCATCTCCTGAGGAGGAGATAGTCAATCTGAGTCTTCGCCACCGAACTTTGGTAAGTAACCAAATGTTCATCCCGCTTCGTAAAACTCGAGTTTGCAATGACTAGATCGAAAGCCTTGGCAAAGTCCAACAGCGCAATGCCCCCTCCGTTCCGCTCTCCGAAACCAAAGCCGCCATGCACCTCATTGTACCCACCTGCAGATGACCCAATATGACCATTGAAATCTCCTCCTATGAATAACCTCTCAGAAGGCGGTATACTACGAACAATCTCATCCAACCCCTCCCAAAAGCGCCTCTTAATATCCTCATCCAAGCCTGCTTGCGGTGCGTACGCGCTAACGACATTTAAAGTACCCTCACCCACCACCAACTTAATAGTCATTAGTCTATCATTCACCCGCCTGACCTCTACCACGGACTCTCTAAGATGGCTATCTACCAGGATACCCACTCCATTCTTACCCCTCAGGACACCAGAGTACCACAACTTATACCCATCCACGTTTTTCGCCCTCGATCCGACCCACCTAGTCTCCTGGACACACGCTATATTAATCTTCCTCTTCTGCAGGATTTTCGCCAACTCTATGGATTTACTCGTTAGTGAACCTATGTTCCATGACCCGATTCTCAACCTATAGGCTCCCTTGTCCCCTCTACCTCCCATGCTACCCAACCCACCCTCTGACCCCAGCCCCACACTTTGCCCCACCCGAGGACATGCCCTTATTCTATCATCCCAGACTGCAGCCACTACACCTACAACAATCTAGAGAAGACTCGCTAGTGCACAACGTACACAAATCAAACTAGAAGGAAACACGTGGTAACTAGTATCCTAGTTGAAAGGTTTAATTATTGCGAAGTAAAGTAACAGTAATTTAGCTAACACCAAAAGGGAAACAGTAAAACAGGAGGTACCAACTCCCGATAACAAAACCTGTGGCTGATTTGCTGTGCTCGATGTAGTTGTACGCTCACGCACCACTTCCTACCGCCCTTGCTGACACTCACCCAGGTTGCTCTCCTTTGCCAGTGCTCGTGCGCCCAACTTGTCTCCAATACTCCAAGAATTCCTGAAAACACAGAAAATACCACGACCCAAAAACCAGAAGGAGCTATCACCGCTACCACTGGTATAGCCCCAACAATATAAAATGTACACTATATGAAATGGAGTAACTAATGCAAGAAATTGTCTAGGCGATGTTTGTGAGTACGTCAGTCGATATTTAGGCGTATGGATTGTATTGGGATATCAAAATTGGAGAAGAGAATTTGACTGAGAGATTGAAGGATGGCCAATAGTGAAAAGGGCGTACGTTGTTGTGAAAGATTTTCTACGTGTGAAGTGGTGATTGCTTGAATTTTCTCTAAGAAGAACAACAAAGGAAAGTGATTCTCCGTGGGAAGGGCCTATTGTATTGTCCTGATGCTGTAAAATGGATGTAATGTAGGTGCAGTGTTTTTGAGAGCGCGAAGCGCAAAAAAGCGACAAGGGCTCGCTTCGCTTCAAAAGCGAAGCGCAAAGCGAAGCGCAAAGCGAAGCGCACGCTTTATTAAAGTGAAGCGCAATTCTTAAAAAACATAATGTAAAATTATAAATAATCAAGAACTTCAATTTAAATACTTAAAAGTAGGTACTAGGTACCACAAACTATCCACAAACCATAGGACAAGCAAAATCAAAGCTACTAAATTACTAGAATCAACATCTTATTCTTCTACTCTTCTTCTTCTTCAAGATTGTCAAAATCTTGAATTCCTCTATTATCTTCATATTGCTCGTCATCTTCTTCTTCCCCCTCCTCTTCATGATCACTTTCATATAATAATAATATATATAATAATTAATTATATAAACTGAAAAAAACATTTTAAAAATCACATAAACTAAAAATAATACTTATATATAATTAATTTTATATGCTGAAATATAATAACGTAGAAGCAGAAACAGAAGCAGAAGCAGCAGAAACAGACGCAGAAAAAGAAGTAACAGAAGCAGAAGAAGCAGACGCAGAAGGAAAATAAGAAGAAGAAGAAGCAGTAGAAGTAGAAGAAGAAGAAGCAGTAGAAGTAGAAGAAGAAGCAGCAGCAGAAGCAGAAGGAAAATAAGAAGAAGAAGAAGCAGTAGAAGTAGAAGAAGAAGAAGCAGAAGAAGCAACAGAAGCAGAAGCAGAAGCAAAAGAAAAATAAGAAGAAGAAGCAGTAGAAGTAGAAGAAGAAGCAGCAGCAGAAGCAGAAGGAAAATAAGAAGAAGAAGAAGCAGTAGAAGAAGAAGAAGAAGAAGAAGAAGCAGAACTGCAGAAGAAGCAGAAGCAAAAGAAAAATAAGAAGAAGAAGAAGCAGTAGAAGTAGAAGAAGAAGCAGCAGAAGCAGAAGAAAAATAAGAAAGGAGGAGAAAAGAGAAGAAGAAAGGAGAAGAAGAAATGAAGAAGAAAGGAGAAAGAAATTACCTGGACTGGAGAAGCGGTGGTCGAGCTCGAGCTTGAGAGAGAAGGGGTCAACCCTAGCCCTTTGTTGATGTCTCTGTTTTGACGGGAGAAGCAGTGGTCTGTTGTGACTATTTAGGGGTCTTTTTTGTTTAATTAAAAACAGACCCCAAGTTTTTTTTTTTAAAAAAGGGCCCAGTGCGCTTTTGTAAAAGAAGTGATCGCTTCGTCGATTTTCTCGCTTCGTCGCTTCAGCTAGTGAAGCGCGCGCTTTTCAAGATCGCATCGCTTCGAGCAGCCTGAAGCGATACACTGTCGCTTCGCGCTTTAAGCGACGAAGCGATCGCTTTTCTAAACACTGTGTAGGTGTTTGCGGAAATGTCAACGAGAGCCGCTGGAATTTACTTGCTGGAGGTTGATCGAATCTTAGACTAAAGAGCAATGGAGACCCAAGTGAATCGATTATATGAAATTAGAGAGATTAAGGAAGAGCTTCTAAAGAGGGAAAACTTGAGAAGAAAATGGCGAGAGAAAAGAGTTTGGCAAATTGTTAGATAAAAAATCAAAAGGCGGAACAATCACCGAACATGAGTTCAGCAAATCCTCAGTGGAGGAGTAGATCGAAAGAGAGAGTATAAGAGATAGGGAAAATGAACTACCTGGGCCGCTGCTCAAAGAGGCCTGCACCGGCTCGCCTGTGGAGGACGTTTGTCGGAGAGAGAGGGAGATGGTCGAAGTCGACCGTTAGCCGAAGAGAGAGAAAGTAAAACCTTAGGAGACTGTCTCAGCAGAAAGTGTATATAATTCAGCTTAAAGGAATTTTTTATTAAATAAAACTAAATCAATTATGGTTATTAAATTAATAAAATTTAACCAAACCGAATATAGTTGGTTTTTCTGTTTATATTTTGTCGGTTTTTTCCTTTTCCATTTTTTTTCCTTCACTTTGTTTCTTTTTTTCCTTGTACAAGTGTATATTATAATTAGGGGTATTCAAATCGAACCAATAAATGGAAGTTGAATTATTAAGTTATATTATAATTAGGGGTATTCAAATCGAACCAATAAATGGAAGTTTAATTAGGGGTATTATTAAGTTGAATAATAAGAGTGTAAAAAATAACTAAATGGAAGGACTCAAGTGTTTAAGGAGGTTGCAAAACTCTCTAATTACAGATTAGTTTTGGGATACTAAACTTGTATATGAATCTGTAAAAGCAGTGAGAAATTCATAGAAATAAAGGAAATGAAAGAACACATAGATGGGACAGGGCAGAAAAGGGCAAATTCCTGAAAAATGCTGAACAGGGCAGGCGGGGTGAGTTAAAACTTTAGTGGTTTAAGGCTTGCCCGCCCTGCCCTGGCCCATTTGCATCCCTGCTTGATACAATTTAATTAAGGGATAATAACTTCATTCTTACATTCAAAAGTTCTGATATGCAACAAACTTAGCTGTATGTTCTAAACGTTTATGACCTGTTCTCATTTTTTGTTCTTATGGACCTATGAATTATATTGGCTCTCTTTTGGAGTTCTGTCAGATCTTAGTTAAGATTCATATCTTGCAGTATGGAGACCATAACTCTTGGGGATAAAAGAATAGGCATCAAGACAAGCGTCTTAGAGGAGAAGGCTACAGCTTGTAATATGCTATGCTGCTATGCTGATGAGCTAAAGGAAGGTTTCTACCCATGGATTGATCAGGTTGGCATTAATAATCACTTGCATATTCTTTATACATGCTGTTGTGTAAAAATCCCACTTAACAAGGGACATTAATGCATTAAATAGGTTGCTCCGACGTTAGTTCCACTTCTCAAATTCTATTTCCATGAGGAAGTAAGGAAAGCGGCGGTGTCAGGTGAGGTTTCTTCCTTTTCTATACCTTTCTTTGGTTTTCCATAGCTCTCCAATTATTGATTTTCTTTTGGGTGAAGACTGATATTTTATTTTATTTTGGCTTATAGCAATGCCGGAGCTGTTACGTTCTGCTAAACTGGCTGTAGAAAAAGGGATTGCTCAGGGCCGAAATGAGTCCTATGTCAAGCAATTATCCGACTACATTATACCAGCTTTGATTGAAGCTTTGCATAAGGTTGACCTCTCTAGTTATTTGATGTTGTTATGGTGTTCTTTCTTCTGTAGAAAGTGATTATGGTACCTGTGTTGGGATAGGAAGTTTCTGACATTTCGGTTGCAATCTCATGCAGGAGCCTGATACAGAAATATGTGCAAGTATGTTAGATGCAATTAATGAGTGTGTGCAGGTTGGTTAATCTTTTAAGACTTTTTGTTTCTTTTGATGATATGTTAACCGTTATAAGCTTATTTTTTTCTTTTAAGACTTTCTTTTAAGCTAACAGTATGATGAGAAAACTAGCCTCTGCAGCATTTGTTGTTGTGTGGTTTGTTATGTGGCCATTTATGTTTACTTTTTTAGTCATTTAAGTTCTTTCTTTTGCCTTGATTAGATGTAGCTAATGAGTAACGGCACTCACATTGGAAATTAGAGATTTATTTATATGCAATAAATACTGCAACATGCTTGATTAGTTATCTTGTTAAATACCCTTTGTGCATGGAGTCAAACCTAATTCACATTCTAATTCTACAGAAGCACCTTGATCAAAAACTCAGTGCAACCGGCAAATGTAACAGTTTATCAACTTGATGTCAGATTGACTGGAAAAAGAGGATCTTTAATCAGAGAGCCTCTCTGCCCTCAGCCCCCACTCCCCCAAAAAACAAATCTAGGCAGCTTACTGGCCGTTAGGCTATGGCATGGAATGTTTCATTAGGCTTAGTCACTTATCAAATAAATTGTTACATTAGTTTAGTCAAAGCTAGAAGCGGGGGTGGTAGCTTAGTAGCTGAAAATATGTCAGAGCAGTAACAATATGCCTGTAAAATTAATATTAGTGATATATATTGAAGAAAAGTGGATTGGAGACAGAGTAAGACATGAGGGAGAACTAGAGCTTGATTTCTAGAAGTAATTACTAGAAACCTGTCAAATGGCCTTTGCACTTGCACAAGGCTTAATGTATCTTTCAGTATGTGATTCTGTCAGAATTCTATGCGGGGCATAGACGTTTAATCTTATTAGGATCCTCTTTTGCTGTTTTTTCAGATCTCTGGACTACACCTGGATGAAGGTCAGGTCCGAAGCATTGTGGAAGAGATAAAGCAGGTCATCACAGCCAGTTCAAGTCGAAAACGAGAACGTGCAGAGAGGGCCAAAGCTGAAGACTTTGATGCCGAGGAAAATGAGTTGCTAAGGGAGGAAAATGAGCAAGAAGAAGAAGTTTTTGACCAAGTATGCTTTTAACATAAGATTGAAGTTCATAAATGAGTTAGAGTGGTGTATCTTGATACATATCTCAAACCTTGGAATCTATTATGTCTTTTTGGTGAATCTCATTATCTCTTTTGATTAGGTTGGTGAAATATTGGGCACACTTATCAAGACATTCAAGGCAGCCTTCTTGCCTTTCTTTGACGAACTTTCATCGTATCTCATGCCTATGTGGGTAAGGATCACCTCATGTTATTTGATACAACTCTGTCTTTTATGCTGTTTGCATCTCGTTATATAACTCTTTTTTCTCCGTCCTTTCCCCACTTGCATCCATTAAGGGCAAGGATAAAACAGCTGAAGAAAGGAGGATAGCAATTTGTATCTTTGATGACGTTGCAGAGCAGTGCCGTGAAGCAGCTTTAAAGTACGTCTATAGCTTTGTCTTAAAATTGAGCTGGTAGTACTCTTAAGTGTTAGATCTGACTGTTTTTTCATGTGCAAAATAGGTACTATGACACATATCTACCTTTCCTTTTGGAAGCATGCAATGACGAAAGTCCGGATGTCCGGCAGGTTTGTATAATGTTTATTGGTTGTAGCATTTTCCAGTCAAGTTTCACATGCTGTTATATCTAACTGAATCCAAATAATGTTTTGTTCAGGCTGCTGTGTATGGACTTGGTGTATGTGCAGAATATGGGGGTTCTGTTTTCAAACCTCTTGTTGGAGGTATGATATAGTTGACTGTTTTTGAAACTGTTCCTCTTTTACTTTTTTGCTCGGATTATTCAACTGAGATGGGAGTACTGTGTTCTTATCTTGATTACATTTATGACCTTAATAATTCAGAGGCTCTATCAAGGCTCAATGTCGTTATTAGGCATCCTAATGCTCTTCAACCTGAGAATGTAATGGCATATGATAATGCTGTTTCAGCAGTGGGGAAGATATGTCAATTTCATCGTGACAGTATTGACTCAGCCCAGGTATAGTATTCCGGAAATCCAAACTTTTCTTTTGTTAGATATGCTCGTATATTTATCGCTACGATATTCTTGAGATGGAGCAATGAACTTTCAGTTGCATCAAATATTAAGAGCATAATTATTACTTTTCTGATTTACTCCCGTGCTTGTAAGTTGTAACTCCTACCATTTTCATAATCCTACAGAGATATAGTTACTTTCAAGACAAAATCATCAGATCGGCTGTCAAAACATTTTCAATAAACAACTTCTTTTTTTCGGGGG